ATATATATTCCACAACCGAAACACAATCCGCTCACTAATTGGCTGTCATTCCAAATCTTATCTCTGAAGGTGTGCAGCTTGTCCACATAAACATCCATCCAAATATGTAATTTGACCAACGTTTCTATATTCGTTGGGAAATATGAACCATTCATTTGTTTTTATGATTTAAATCTAGTAAAAGTACATAAACTAAAAGGATTCACAAGCAAAACGATTGTTAGATAAATTGCATCTTTCAGAAGTATATGGGGTGATAGCATTCCGAAAATCCGCTTGGATCATTTCCAAAAAAAGGAACTAGACACAAAGAACATAGTTTGTGTTATATGTTACATGGATGTTGGAATTAGAATTATGATAATTTACTAAATTTAAACTGCAGTGTTTAATTATTTAATGTTAGAATTTTTACATTAAGTTTTAGAAAAGTTATTTCTTATTTTTTACTATGTTTTCATGTGTTGCTTGATGCTTTTCTAATTTTAAATGAGATTTTTGAGATTTAATTAAACTATCTATTTTTTACTACTGAAAAAAAAATCGACCACTATCTATTATTCCACTCTTAACTGCCTTTCACCAGTTCAGTTCAGTCCTGATAGCACTAGTATACATTATATGTTTATGCTGCTAGGCCGTTTCTCATATGCCACATGTTGTACTGCACTCATAATTGGTGTAGCTGATCCTAAATAATTGAAAAAAAATGATGATGATGATAAACACTACAAAATGCTTTAATTTTTAATGGATTTTGTATTATTGGACTAATGAACAAATGCGTCTTGTATGTTGCGACGGTTTTTGGGTGTAAATGTTTGTTGCATTGGGAACAGGTACCCCACTTTTCTCTTCCAAAATCATTAATACATCAAATAGATGGCCAAAAGCATCCACTCCTAAGTCGCGCGACAAGGCAAAAAATCTTACCATCATCTACATTTTTGTCTTATTTTTGAGAAAGGATCTTCTAACTAAATAAGTGGAAAATTTATTCTCTAAAACAGAGCCATCCTAACCCCTAATCATCTCTCTCCTGCAAACAACATGTCCTCCCTCTCTCATGATTCGTCTCTCATTGGTGTTTCCTAGAAATCTTTTCGTAGGGAGCCAAACGACCTTGATTATCTTATTTTTAGGGCACATTTGTTTTGGGTTAAAATATTTTTGAAGAAATATTTTTATGTGAAAGAATTCTTTCATGTGGTTAGATATAAGAATATTTTCATATCAATAGATCTCAGTATATCTTTCATACCGATCGACAGCTAATTATCGTGAAAATATTCTCACACCTAATTACATGAGGTGATTTTTTCACGTGAAAATATTTATTCCAAAAAATATTTTCGCGAAAAATATTTTCGCGAACCAAACATGCCCTTGCATCATCTACTATTCTTTATAGTTATGTGGTAGGCTGCAGTTTTATCACAACTTTCAAGCGCTTCAACGTTTTTTATCCATATTGAGAGCCGAAATAGAAGACCAATTGGGTCGCTGATGAATTGCAGAGAGCACATTTATTTTTGTTTAACCAAAATCCATTTTCTCTTAATCTTTTAGCTTCATCATGGGGGCTGATATTTTATCAAATTTTTTAAGTGCCTCAATGTTTTTATTCATGACAAAAGCTAAAATTGTGGACCAGGCCTACGGTGAAATAAATAAAGCAGACACGTGCATACGCATGCACAACATGTTCATCCACATGATGAGGACGAAGAGACTAGAACATAAAGATTGAATGATTTTGCCTCTTTTCAATGTAAAATCGATCCAAAGAGATGCTAATTTGATTCTAACTATAATTTACTTTGTTTTTATCACTTTTCCTTATGTACTAGGTTTGTTTTCTCATATTTGTTTTATTGAAGGTTCCAAACATCTAAATGTTGAAATACACCAAATAAAGCCACCACCCATGGACCCCATTGGCCTTAATCACATAAGGTTCGTGCCCAATACAAGGCAAAGCCATCAAACCTAGCAAGGTGACTCCTAGGAGTTCACATTGAAAGAGCACAATGAGACAAGAGCCCGTTAGATACCATCCCGAAAGAGGGAAAAAAGTAAAAAAATAAAAAATTTCAAAGTAGGAAGAACTTAGGATATGGATTGGGGTCGTGCTGGTAGCATCCCACCATATCTAGTCACTGCATTGCGGTTTTCATTTCTACCACTAACACCACTCGATTAGCACCTTCAAAAGTCTAACTCTTAACCTATTTATAAAAACGTGTAGGCCTGTCTTCGCCATTGAATTACCTCCAAAAAATAAAAGGTACGAAGAACTTGGGAAAGGGGTTGAGGTTGCGGTGGTGGTACCCCACCCCCCCCTGCCCCCCACCTTAGTCACCGCGTTGTGATTTCATTCCCAATGACATTAACCCCCTAAAAACTTAAAAATGGGTAGGAGCATGGCTTGTTTTTCAATTTTACATTCAATAGTCAAGATTAAATGTGACAACTTTGTACCAAAGATAAATGGTATTATTGTATAAGTTTTCTATAGTTTTATGGTGCAATAAACAAAAAATAATAATAAACTATTGTGAATTAAAAACATTGATTAGAATGTTGCTTAATATTTCACGACTATTATCCTCAAATTCATATTCAAAATATTTTTATTATTTTTATTTAATTTGTTATATAAAAATGCATCTACATCCCAATTTTAAAATAAATATTATTAAGTAAAAATAAAAAATAAAATGAATTTATGGCTGTTGGGTGAAGTTATGTCCAATCAGAACCGTTGAAGGGTGCTTGTGCACGTCCACTGCTTGTGGACATTTTACCATCCCACCATCGAAATAGCTCTCCCTTTTTAGGATTCCAAATTCTAGAAGGGTAAATTTGGGTTTTTTTTTTAATAAAAATGCTTGAAGAAGTATTTGAATGACTAATTATTGATAAATTGACCGATTTTACCACCATATGAATTTGATATGTGGTTAATGAATTTCCGAGGTAGTTTGAGCATTTTAATATTATTTTTCTAAAACTTAATTGGCCTTGAGTATAAAGATAATCTAAAATTTTAGGGAAATCTACTCTAGTACCCCTTATAATTAGTGGTATTAAAAAATGTCCTCTATAGTTTAAATTTTACGCTCACATCCATTTTTTCATGTTTAATTTTTTTTCAAAATACTCCCAATTCATAACTATTAGTACGGAAGCATTTATCTATTAATAAAATTTCCGAAAAAGAAAAAAACACATGAAAAAAATGTGATCAGAAAAATTAAAAGGAAAGGTTTATATAAGGTATCAACTATAAACAATCAAAATAAGAGGCACCTTCAAACTTTTTGAAATATGTAATTTTGGTAGCCATAAATTCTTATGATGGTCTGAAAATTTATTTTTATATCTAATTATAAAATTTAAAAATAAAAAATGACGCAAATCAGATGAGATATATTAACACTAACCAATCTGAAAAATAGACAATCCAGAAAATTACTTGCAAGATACACAATTGTCAGAATCCAAAATTCCTTTCTTTTCCCTATCCATGCATGCTCACCTTGAGGGTGCTTGAGCATCAAAACAACTTTTTTTTTTTTTTTTTTTTATGGGTTTTTGAGGTATAATTTTTTTTCAAATTTAAAATAAATGCAGTTTCAGTACGGAGACCAATTTTCAAGGGCTGAGATTGTAAGGTATATTAGCGTAAATTTCCCAAAACAATAAGATGAAAAAGAAGCCCGATAGGCGCGAAACCATGTCATGATGATGGTCCGGCGAGACCAGCAAAGCCTTTTGCCCATTCATATAGGGAACTTCGCTTAAACCTGCCCCTTGCGCCCCCGTCCGCGCGTCTCTCTCTCTCTCTACAGTTTCAGAGTTCATTTGTCTTCGAAGACGTTTTTCCTCTCTCTCTAAATCTCCCTGCTAAAAAACCTAACATATTTCTTGGGTGTTTTCTCTGTAAATATGCAACTCTTCTTCACATAGACAGACTACAACATCGTTACAGGTACGACGTTAGATTACACTTTGCAGGTTCTATGCTTTCTCTCTCTACCTTGTTTCTATCTCTTCTTGCTATCTCATCGTTTATGTCTCCCTCTTTCATCTTTCTCTCTCATCCTTTATGATGCTATCTCTCTCTCTTCTTGTGTGTTTGTTTATTAAGGGCAGGTTTTCTCCTAGAATTAAGCATTCCTTTGGTGTCTGTTCTCTTTTCTTTGGTCTTCCTTCTCTGATCGTTTCTCTTTTCTTTTGTCTATCTTCTTTATCTTTCATCTTTTACTTCAATTGTGAAATTTCAGAATTTTGTTAATGTCCTCGGGAAAATTCTTGCAGGGTTTCGTTCCGATAATTGTTTGGGGGTTGTGTGTGGCTTTTTGGGGTTTGTAATGTGAGGCTTGAGAGAGAAAGTGAGTCCTCTGTTCTCTTTCACTGTAACATATTCATATTATTAAGCTACTCTCTGAATTTCCTTCTATATCTGTATTCCTGGGTTTAGCGTTTAACGACATTGTGCTCATATACTGGTAATTGCATAATGTCTTTCACATAGTGTGCTTATTCGGTAACACTATTCTTTCTTATTGCATCTTTCTTCTACCCTTTGTTTATCCGGTCTTTTCATCTTCTTCCTTTCTCTCTCATGTATTAATTGAATTGGGTAATTTAGCTTTCTATATATTTGTGCCCCTCTTAATTGAAATCGGACTCGAACTTTTGCATTGATTTCTGGGGGCTGAATATGAAACGGGGCTATCTCTGATTCAAAAGGTTCAGGGTATCTATCCTCATTTCAAGTGGTTTTCATCTTTTGTATTGCCTTCTTCATTGAAATATGGGTATAGGGGCATCACCTCCTTGTTACATTGTTCTACACAAACCCACCAACTAATTAAACAAAGAAAATGGACCTTTAATCACATATCCTCCTCTTACTTTTTGGAAATACTTTACAGAATGAAATTAGCAATTACCAATTTTAGTGGGTGGAAGCGAGAGCTCAGCAAATTTCTGGGTACATTAATGTAATACCGAAACAAGGTCTCTATTTTGCCATGATCTTGCATCTATTTTCAATGTAAAACATCCAACTATCATATAAGTTCTAATTTGACAAGGGTTCATGAGGGTACATTCTTATTAGCATGGGAGGAGCTGTATTGGTGTCTGTACGTATAATCGGAATAGCTCTTCACTCAGTAATCTGAAAAACAGTGTTTCACGCTTGCTGTTAGAAAATGACTTAGTTGGATTTGTTTGCATCCATCAGTGTAGCTTTTTCTCTGTTTTTAAGTGAGTTAAGATGTTTAGTGGTACGATTAAATCAGGCCTCTACTGGATTTACGCATATATACCATTTTTATTTAACTTTCTTCTAAGTCCTTTTACTTCTTTGGCAGAGAATGGAAGGGCCAACTGGGGAACAGGGTTTCAAAATGAGATTAGGAGATTATAAGATTGGACAGACAATTGGCTGCGGATCTTTTGCTACAGTAAGACTTGCAGAGCATATCCCAACAGGGCTCAAAGTTGCTATCAAGATGTACAAGCGTTCAAAAGTAAAAGGAATGCGAATGGAAGATAAAGGTAATCATTCAAGTCTTCAACCGTCTATAAAGCATTGGTTGCAATAGATATGGTAAATGAAAATTGATCATCATATAAAATTGGTGAACTTCATCTATATTTGTGTATTTCCTTAACCAACTAACCTTTCAAGTTGTGTAAATTTCATAATTCTCTAGTAGCTATTGTTGCTTTTTCATTGTTTACCTTGCTATTCTAACTAATTTGTTCCACTAGTCTACACACATTCTGTATTGACCGCTGTTCTTCTTTTGCTAGTTCAGTGGTAGGATTCAAACTAGGACATGTTGTTGCAATGATCAACATCTTGACCAATCAAGCCCAAGCCCAAATCTTTTGAGCACTATTTCTGATTGTTGTCATACTTGAGAGTTGAGATTGAACTGTTCTCTAAAGTAGGATTTCTCGTTTTTGCAGTGACACGAGAAATCAAGATATTGAGATTATTAAAGCATCCATGCATTACACATCTCTATGAGGTTATAGAAACAGAATCAAAGATATATATTATCATGGAGTATCTTGAGCATGGGGAGTTATTTGATTATCTCGTAAGGAAGGGTAGACTGCATGAAGGTGAAGCTCGTTTTTTCTTTCAGCAGGTAACTTGCTATATATTTATTAGATGATCTTGATTTTTCTCCCTTCAATGAATAAACTTTGAGTATGGAAATCAATAACATGAAATGCTCGGAAGTTGTTCTTAAGATCTTATTTGCCCTGGGCTTCCTTACAGTTTGAAGGTCAAAAATAAAAAAAGAATGTTCGTTTACATTTTCTTGGGAACAAAAAAAATGCGATAAAGGCTAAATGCTTCTTTTATTCGGTGTCTATTTGTTTATGAACAGGTTGTCTCAGGTTTGTTATATTGCCACATGAACATGGTGATTCATCGAGACCTTAAGCTTGAGAATCTCCTTTTGGATTCTAAATATAATGTGAAGATTGCAGACTTTGGCCTAAGCAATATTATGATTGATGGCCATTTCTTAAAGACAAGTTGCGGGAGTTATGCGGCCCCGGAGGTATTGTTTCTTACTAGCAACTAAAAGGATTTCCAGGAGTGGTTGGTGCTGTAAATGTGTGTGTGCATGCATATGGTATGTATGTTTAAATGTGTATGCATATTTTATTCATATCAAAGATTCTTAACGGGCAGTAGTGTATCTATCCTGGTCATCCATGTGAAATAGTGACATAAGCCAGAGCAACCAACTACTTTAACATTAAATAATGAGTTAATTTCATGTTGATACCCTGATAATGGTTGATTTCATGTTGATACCCTGCATATATGTTTTGTAGGTTATCTCAGGTAACTCAAATGTTGGGCCTGAGGTCGATGTGTGGGGCTGTGGTGTTGCTTTGTACACCTTGCTTTGTGGTTCTCTTCCTTTTGATGATGAAAATACTGCCATTTTGTACAAGAAAATAAAGGTACAGCAATTTCCTCTATTTGCATTTAGATTTTTCTTGTATTATCGCTGTATCAACTATGTTAATATATTTGTAGAACAAAATACATGGGAAAGCCTGAATTAGCTGTATTCTCCTTGTTTATCAGGCAGGGGAATATACGATTCCAAGTCATTTGTCATCTGAAGCAAAGAATTTGATTCAAAGAATGCTTGAGGTGGAACCATTAAGGCGGATAACAATTCCAGAAATCCTTTGTCATCCTTGGTTTGATCCTCATCATCCACATTCTATTATTGTAACTTCACTACACACGACAAAACGGGCAAGAAAGGCTGACTTTGGCTTTCTAGTACAAGTATCCTTTCTTTTTTGTTGTATTCCTTTTTGCAAGGATGTCTTTGTCATCCATTTTAAATAAATAAGCAATGGCTTTTTTATCTTCTTAAAGAGAACCAGCAAGTCTTTTTATATTTGATCATTTGATGGCCTTGATTATCAAAATCAGATGGAGTTATTGTATCTGTCATATTTTTTCATGTGTTCCTTTCTTGTTACTACTTGCGTTATATATCATTCTTAAATGGCCATTTGCATGAGTTGTTGGCTGAAATCCTTGGAAAGGTTTCTCATCCTAGTAATTATCGATGCTTTCATGAGCTACAACCCCTCTAGTTAGCTTTGTCTTCCTTAAATAAAGATCTATAGCTGATTAGAAGATAGTCATCCTTATTAAGGTCCAAATAATCTCATGGAAACTTATAGGCACATATCCAATCTAATCGCACCAACCTTGTTCGTATTCATAGAAGACCCAACTTCATTTGGGCCTTTATCTCTCTGGACGATCCATATAGATCACTTCCTCAAAACGAGCTGGCCATCACCTGTCACCATAATATATGGATAAGTTTCGTGGTGTTGTTATATCTGTCACACCATTTATAATGTGAATGGAATAGCGTCAAATCCAGTTTTGATTGCTCTGAGCATAGTAGTGTTGATTTTGAGTTGCTCCATGGGACTTAGATCTGGTGTTCTATTGAATCTATCAGTTCTCTTCAAGTATCCACCCAATTGGTTTGAAAGAGAACGTATGAATAATGATCAAAATAACATTGTGTGTATGGTGTACACCGAGGAGGTCTTGTAATGTGTTCTGATCCCTAAATGAATCCGTTCTAATTTTTCTTTCAATTTCTGAATTCATAACAATTGACAGATTCTTAGTTACAAAACAACTGCTGAAAACACATGGTAACCTTCAAGAAATACAGAGAAGGGGCCCTCTTCAATGAGTGTATTTTTCTCATTATCTTTAGATAATAATTTGTCCTAATATACATGTGAGAAGGCTAAATGTGGCTTCCACATGAGATTTATATGGTTTCTGTGGTTAACTTTCTTTTAGACTAATATAAATACATTGAATACCTATTTATGAAGAAACGGCAGGTAGACGATACATGCTTTCAAGTTGGTTTTTTTTCCAGGCATCGGATTTCCCTTTCATACACCAGAATGAAACTAAGGCTTCAGTGGCATGGCACCATAGAGAAAAGTTAGTGTCTGAGAGTAAATGGGCATGTGGGTTTGAGGTTAAATTTACACTAACTTTTCCCATTCATTTTATATGGTTCATCTTTCAGAAATGACTATTCTCTTGGGCCAACATGATGATTGTTAACTTTTTCTGTTGTGTGATTATTGAGAAATGAAAATCTCTATGTTTGTGCAGACTGAAACTCCTCCTAGTGAGATATTAGCTAAGGTTTCGAGAGCTATGCAGGAGTTGAACGTGGATTCAAAAACGATTGGTCCTTATAACTTTAGATGTAGATGGTACCTTGAAAGTCCACATAAGAGTCCTCTCTACATGATCAAGTTTGAAGTGCAGGTCTCTCTCTCTCTCTCTCTCTCTCTCTCTCCACACACACACTTTTTCTATATAAGTAAGAATATCTTTTGTTGTTCATTTTGTAATAGCATCATTTACATAAGATTGGAAATGGTCCTTGAATTTGTGGCAGCTTTACCGGACTAAAGAAAGGAAATACATTATTGATGTACTAAGGATCCAGGGGCCTGAGTTTCTCTTCCTTGATCTATGCGCCAATTTATTTACAAAACTCCAGGTTCACTGATGTGACGTGTTTCTTTTCTGCCTCCCATTTGTGCTTGTGGTGCAAATCAAGAGGCAGAGTATTGATTCTGCTGTAGAGAAGGCCCACTGACTCCTCGTGCTTGTCTATGGAGAGAGAGAACCAATATCAACAACTGTATATATGCAATGTAATATGGGAATGCCAAACTTTGGCACTCGACTCTAGCTGATCATATATAAGAGAGAGAGAGAGAGAGAGTTTTAGTTGCTCACCAGTGTCTAAAATTGTAAAAGTAATACAAATTTGTTGCAGTGTGACACATACATTGGTGATGCATTATGGCGCAAACTGTCATTCTCGTGTTCGTCCCGAATGTACCGGAAGTGTTGCAGCCCCTCTCTCTTGCTCACTACATCTAAACTATATGGATCTGATTTTTGTGCGGGCACTGACGTACCAAAAGTGGTGCCGCCTGTATACTATATTCCATCCTATGCAACTGATCGGCTCAGATTGCACTTGAAAATCATGACATGGAATTTTTTGGTACAATTTGCACTAATTTGACTCTTTATATTAATTTTGCTTTAATTTCTATTGATAATTATTTTGTTTCTTCAATCACTTGGCTTCTTGTCGTGACTTCTTGTGCTATGGTTCCTAGCATATAGACTAAATGCGATCTCCTAATCGGCGGCCTAAATCCTTATTTGTTAATTAATAATCTTTTTTATAGCGTGCTAGAGCACACTATACAGTTCACTCCCTCACTAGGAGATTTTTTTTGGATATGAGATTTTGGGATCTTGTTTAGATCACCAGATGGATAATTTCAAAAAGGAAAAATAAAAAAGACTTCTTAAACACTTCAGGATATCATTTTAGGACACGGTTTTGGTGAGTCAGCCATCTCACCTATTACCGTGCGGTCCATTATCTATCTAACCTCCATCTCTAAGATGGATGTTAAAAAATGTTACATCCACTAAAAGTTACAATGGATAGTGAAGAACGGAATTCAAAAAATAACTTTAATACTTTCTTTTTCAAAAAAAATCCAAATTTACATCATTGTCATGGTTGAGATTATTGAACTCTAAAACATTGGATCTAAAAAACGTCTTTGAGATATATTTTGTAGGGAGACCAACAGGAATAGTGTGAGTTGGCCGATTCACCAAATCCCATGTTTTATTATACATCTAAATTTTCTTCGGGGTTCTCTTGAATTTATCGTGGCTTGTATTGGGCACCCACGGTGCAAGTCACTCCAATGATATTAAGGATGTACCAGACTGTTTGGTTTTAGGGCTGTCAACAAGCCGGCCCCGCCTTTGGGCCTTTTGGGACAACCTTGGACCACGCATTTGGGCTCATGTCCGGGCTAACATTGTCCGGGCTCGGCCTAACATTGTCCAGGCTGGATTTTTTCAGGGTAGGCTCGGCTTAACATTGTCCGGGCTAATATTTTCAGGGTAGGCTCGGCCTAACATTGTCCAGGCTCGATTTTTTACATAGCAACATGGATCTTTCCAGAGCTTAATTTATGAAAATTTTGTAATGGACAAGATATGGTAACTGTAATCGTGGTTATATGTTAAGAGATTGTATACAATGAGATCATTTATCTTTGATACAAGGTGGTCACACTTACTTACAACCATCCAATGTGATATTTGATAGTTTAGATGTGTCATAAAGTTCGAGATATTTTTTTTTTAAGTTTGAGTTTGGTCAATAGAATAATTGTAGCCACCCAATTCCACATCCAATGATCAAGATTAATGTGACAATCTGGTATCGAAGGTAAATATTCTCACTCTATACTTCCCCATATATGTTAATATTACTCATATGAGTTAATTGGATTGTCTTCTCTCTCTCTTTTTCTTTTTTTCTTTTTTTTTTTTTTTTTTTTTTTTTTTTTTTTTTTGAGTGTGTGTTAATAACACACGTCCAAATGTGTAGAATGTCTATATACTTTTGTGTTTGATAAGACAAGAGTAACCCCAACTTTTTTATCTTTTCACCTATTTGGGTTGAAACCATAGTTAGCAAATTGGGGACGCTCAATAAATCAGTTCACCATAAAATCAAAACCAAATCATTTTTATTTTAAAAAGTTGGATGAAAAAATTGGGTAAACAATATGGCTCGACAAAAATACTTCATATAAAGATATCGCTAATATATCGGATTAGGCTAAAAAATCAGTGTAAGAAAATTAGATAAATTTATAATATTATAAATTTTGAAATTCTAAAAAATAAAAATTATGCCAAAGCCATCAATAACTAATTTATCTATAAAAACTTTACTAGACTTATATAATTAAGTCAATTAATTCAAGTGCCTCCTAACTCTCATCCAATCATCTAATATTAAATACATAATTAACTAGTATATACCAAAAAAAAATGTACCACATAAATGTACTCATTAAATACTTTAAAAAAATCACACCTACTTATTACATACCAAAAACAAATAGACTATATAAATTTATTCATTAAATACTTTAACTATGGTATGGTGACAAATATACAATATAAATTTATTCATTAAATACTTCAACATTGCACCTAGTTGGTAGGTACAAAAAAAAATACACGATCTTTGTTTTCTCATTATAATGATTTAACTATAGTATTTTTATAAAGAGCAATGATCCAATGCAATGGTTGTATTATAGTATTAATGCAACGGCACTTCTAGAAAATCATGTTTGTGGTATTTGTATGACCCTAAATTTTGCTCACACACTCTCTTCATCTCAATAATCAATCCCCGCAAAAAAAAAAAAGTTCAATTTCAACCCTAGATATACTCAAAATGAGTCCCTTCCAAAAACGAATCTAGACCATTCATTTTGTGAATTTCAAGATCTTAGCCTTTATAAACTCAAAGTAATTTTTTTATTTTTAACATTGTTCATCTAATAATAATAAATCCATCCAAAAAAAATTGAAAATGAAAAATCCTTCTAAGGCCTAGATCTAAGCACTTTACCGAAATGAACGGACTATATTAATTGGGCTAAAAGAATATTTTCTAGGTTGTGTTTTCAATTTTTAGGTTGTGTTTTCAATTTTTTCTCTTTTTTGTGATTGTTCATTAGAATGAAAAGAGTGTATAATTCAAAATTTGGATCAAACAAATTGCCATAAAGATGATCTTTTAAGATTATTACATCATATTACTATACAACGGTTGGAAGAAATCATTGCCTTTTTATAAATTTCTTTAATTGAAAAGAGGCTCCTAGAAATTTGGATTTCACATCTCTCTGTTATGGTTTAGAGAGAGAAGAAGGAAGAAGAAAGAGAAGAAAATAGGATGGGCTGATAGCCATTAGGGTTTATATAAAGAAGAATGAAGAAGGAAGAAGTCTTCGGCTTCGCAAACCCTAATGGAAGAGGCCTTAACTTATTGAGAGAGAAACGGAAGATAGGACCCTGTTTGAAAAGGGTTTTTCACTGTAATTTGGAATAGTGTTTGAGAGAAAGCCCTAACGATATTAATTTGTGAAGAGGCTCTAACTAATTTATAGAAAGATAAACAGAAGATGGGATGCTGATTTGGGATAGTTTGAAGAGGGTTTTTCTCTCTGATTTGAGTAGGGTTTTTCATTTTATTAGGGAAACAACAAGCAGAGCTGAAGGATTAGGTTTGGGGAACTAATCTTATATGTGTAATTGCTTGCTCCTGTAAGTATACGGTTTACATTATATTGTTTATCTTTGTTATCACATAATCAAAGCCAAAATATTGATTACTTGGTCTTGTAATCACGCTCTCTGCTTCTCATTCATCAGTAAAAAAAACTATGTTTTGAGCTCTAATTTGTGCTATAAACAGCATTTTCATAAAAACAATTATCACAAATAATCACATAAATTTGCATGTATATGACTTTCTTTACGCAATGATGTACTTTACAAAATGATTTGCTATAAACAGAATTTCATTTACACAATGATTTTCCATAATAACAACTGAAATCTGTATCTATTGGTATAAGTTTAAAAAAAGGGAAAAAAAATTTCATACCATCAATATGTAAATTTGCCTTTGAAGAACACAATGGGGATAAAAATTTCTATTTCAAGTTTTTTTAAATATTTTTTTTTCAAAAGCATGAAAGTAGCAATGGCTGCAATACACAAGACAAGAAAAAAAAATCTTTCACAAAAAATTATAGGTAAAAAAAGAAATGGCAAAACAGGAAAAGAAATCTTCCAAAAAAAAAAAATTATAGGTAAAAAAAGATACGATTTTTAGGCCACATTTAAATCGTAATTTGACAAAAAGCCCGTTTTAAACGTTTTTATGAAAACTACGCGATTGTTTTCCGACCTTTTAAAAAAGGCTCCGTTTAAAACTGTTTTCATAAAAACGCGGATTGTTTTGCCGATTTGTTAGTTCTGGTTGAAACTTGAGAGCAAGGAATTTGCACACCGCCCATGAGCCTCCACACCCATCACAGACCCATCCGAAGATTTAGAAGTAGAGGGTTCGGCGGCTTTCACAGTTCAACGCGATCCTCTTTCTCTTTCTTTCGGAATCTTTGCCCTTTCTCTTCTTTCTTTCCGAATCTTCGCCGGAATTCGTAACATTCGCTGGAATATTTGGAATTTTGGCCGGAACTTTGAAATCTCGCTGGAATTTGTGTTGGACTTCTAGTTATAAAAGAAATTACCCGTGGAAAGATTTATTCTTTCTTTTAAATTATATCTGGCGTTTCACTTTTATCGGAGTTTTTCTTTAACTGGAGATTCTTGGTTGATTTTATTGATTTCCACAGTGGTTACACCAGGTGAGTCTCTGATTCATCTGTTTTCCTGATGTTTTCTAAACATTAATTTTTTGTGGGGTTTGAAGGGTTCCTGTTTATTGCATGGATTCATTTTTTTTCCATCCAATAATCGCAAATCCATTATCATAAAATAGAGACGCTGCCCATGGCTCTGTTAATTCGATGGCTTGCCTTTTTTACGCTAGTTGGATATTGCTATTCCCCCAACTCTTTTACGGTTATCGTTATTGTAATTATAAATAATTTTTTGTTCAAATATGAAACCCTTTTTTTTTATATATATATCAGGGCAAAACATCACTTTGAACTTAGTGTATTGTTATTATTGTGTTGGATAATTGGAAAGAGTTGTTTAGGGCATTCACTTGTCAGGGTCAGTTAGGTTTTACTGTCAATTGAAGTTTTGACAAATTTAAACCTTGTGTAATTTCTGGGGTTATTTGACCTTCTTCTGGTTTTCTGCTTGGGTATTTGGTGTGCCATGGGCATTTACTTTTCCTTGAGGTATTTTGGAGGCCAAGGGGTCTCCTTTATTGTTCATGAGTGGCAAATTTTTCATTTTTGAATGTTGATTCAGCACTTTCACCTAAGCTTTTCTAATCCATGATCATGTTTCTTCGACAGTTACTATTGGTGGTTGGACTAATCTTCTATGGAAATTGCTTGCTATGCATGACTGATTTTTCATTGCAATGATTTACTTGTAGCCACGAGTTTTTTTCCTTGCCTTTAGCTGAAGTTTTCTGATGCATGCACATGCCATATGTTGAACCTGAGAAATCATTTGT